ATATATATATATATATATATATATATATATATATATATATATATATAAATAATTAATGCTAAATAGATATCGGTACATAACTTAATATACTAATATTTGAAAAATTTGGAAATTAAATTGGTGACAAACAGGTAAAAGACTGACTGACATTTCTGTTTCTTTGTGTAAAGCTTTATGCTGTGGGCTAGTTTTAAAATTGTCGTTTATTTTAATTTTTCTTTTTTTCTCTCCTTTTCTTTCTTGTGCGTCTGTAAAAAAAATTGACTGCATATCGCCCGCTAAAGTGTTAAGTCGTTTTGTCAAGTGGGAAAGAGAAAAAGAGGAGAAAGGAAATCTTTACACACACACGAACACCTCCTCCCTCTCTTTTTCTCTCCCCATCTTTCTTTCACTCTCTCTGTCATTCTTTCCTAACACACACACACAGTCCAACAGCTCCTAACACACACACACACACACACACACACACACACCCTCCAATAGCTCTTTCTCTCCCCCTCTTTCCGCACACCTACACACACACACACGACCCATACATACACGCATGCACAAAGGTAAATGGTAAATGGACTGTACTTATGTGGCACCTTTCTATCTTAGTTCAAGACATTCAAGGCGTTTTACATTGCAATCTGTGTCCTCATTTACCCATTCATACAGCACTCTACTAGATCTCTACAAAGATAATTGAACAAATCATACTAAAGAAACTAATCGGTGTTTTTAGGTCCAACAAGCCTGGTGAAAATACAAAAAAAAAGAAAAACACACACATACACATACAAAGTGCAGACAGCTAAAAATATCAACCATCGAGTAGAGTGCAAGCAAACAGATCTTAAACAAACATCACACTTTAAAAGAAAGTAAAAGTAATACTGTAATAACAGTAAACAAATAGTAAAACAAATAAATAACACTTTCTTTTTATTATTTCATTTTGTGCTCTTACAGAGTTTAAGATGTCAACCACTCCAGTAGCAATTCTTTGCATAAAAAATCCAGA